AACGTTCATGGGTGGTGTTTCATGGCAGAGCACTGCAGTGCGCTGCGTGTGTCAGACCATTGGGTTTCCATGGCAGTGTCGACAAACTTCACTGTGACGCTAAGCTATGACAGCATCCCAGAACGTTAGCACGCTGCGGTACCAGCACCAGCAGCATGCTAGCAGTATTTGAACTCAAACCTCTGTTTTTGGTACGGTTTTTCAGAACCTCTCACTCTGTTCCAAACACGATTCATCATAAACTAAGAGATCACATGCAACGTCATTGGAGTGATGCTATGGTATGCCGTAGCTACCAGTGCACACAGTGTCTGGATGGTGAAACAGGGCCATTATTAATCACATTTGTTTGCTTTGTTTCAGCAGAAACCTGTCTGCACATGGGAGGAGTGCAACAAAAGCCCATCAAGTTCATGCATGGCAGTGGATCTCAACAGGAGAAAACCAGAAAGAACATGGATGCTTGTAGATTGCAGTTGTACACTGCTGTTATCACCTGATGTGCGTGGCTGGCATTGCTCCTGGCAAGAACCACCTGCAAGTGATGAGATGGTGCCTCAGTCGTTGAGTGTGCTGCAGTGTGAGAGGCGCCCTGATCTCTACTTTGTGATGGGTTTCCATTGGAGGTTCAACTGAGAAGTGAGAACTGACTGTGACCATGCTTGAGCATGCCAGTGGAGCTTTACATGCTTAGGGCAGCTTTTGAACAGATGCTGATCATGGCATGTCCCATCCAGTTATCACGTGCACAGAATGGTGGGGGGAGGGCAACTCTGGGCTCTTGAGTCAGCCCTACTGCACAGGGGGTACAGATGGCCGCTTACTTTGGTGTGTCCTGCACTGCATTATCAAGCCCAGTCTGCTGCCACAGGCAATGGGTCGGGCTGCACTATATTAAAGGCAGACTATCTTGCAAAGGAGGCTGGCATCCTCTCCCATAATGACACACCAATTGGCAATCATCGCTGCGATGATCACGAGGGTGTCCGCTTATCTGACATGGTGAGGTGGAGAGCCAGCTCAACCTGGCCTGAGGGATGGTTTTACTTCAGCTGAGGCCCCCTTTCCCCGCCTGCCAGGTCCGGTCAAACGACCGCTTCACAGTGAACGACTTGCAGATGTGGATGCCGTCCCACAGCGCAACGAGCGCGCCGACCAGAGGCGGCGGCCAAGAGGCGGCCGCGCTCTCCCAGTCGACGGTCCCGGTGGACGTCGGCAACGCCCACCGCGCGACCATCAGATCGGCTCGCGACCGCGCCGTCGCCGACTGACCGCATGACTGGTATCTGTTCTTGATGTGGGACCGACTGCCACCGCCGGTCGCGGAAGGGCATCGCTCATCGGCCATCGACGTCCACCAGCTTCGCGTGGGTCACTGTTCGGGCTGCCACCAATATACCGAATCGGATGGAACCCTGTCGGCGAATGCCGGCGGTGCCCCGACATCGACTGCGCGGCGGCCAGTGCATCGCGTGCCGGGAGGAGGCTGGCACCCCCGATCGGTCATTGGTCACAAACCGTGTCCCAGCTCATGACTGCATCCAGCGCAGCTCTGTGAGATGTTCTGCTGCAGTCTGCCGCGTGTGTTGAAAGAAGAATGAACATGAGAAAACCTCAAAACTTTATGCCTATTAGTATTTGACCAGTGTTAGAATAAGTTTGGATTTTGAGAATTTGTGTCCCTGTGCTTGTGCCTGTGTGGAAAGGCATGCTTTACGGTGTACCATCTCAATTTGTGCGGCTGCTGACAGGCCACCTGGGTGCCAACGTATGTGCGAATCCGCGAATACGTTGTATTTCGTCAGTCGGTATCGTTCTGAAAATATTGACTGCAATAGGCTATATAGCGTATGACGGTTCAGCCCAGCAGTAATAACTGACCATTGATTGGGCGAATTTTGTGTGGTGGTTCGCTAATACATAACCTAAAGAGTGTTTTGCCGGAATCGTTTAGTAGCAGAACTGACCGGAATATAAGTAGAATGCAACGGTTTGAATCGTTAATTTGTTGAAACGATTGTTCTCTGAGACCACTGTGTAACTTTTGACCTGAGAATCACCAATTATAACAACGGTGGAAGCAGTAGGCACTGTAGAGTGTAGGCAACACTATATAGTTGGCACACTTACGCAAGCACACGACTTACGCAGTGGACATCTGCGTCATGCATTTTAAGGTTTACTGGGAAGAGTGAGAAATTAGTCAGAATATAACTGACTAAGGAAAATAGGCGATATTTTCAATTGAGCTGGGGCGGAGAGGGGGAGGGGACGTATGGTCAGCTATGCCAATAATTCATTCTCGTTATGCAGCTGTGTAAAAGGGCGTCCGTTTTTTGGGGTGAGACCTTCCCCATTGGCCATTTCCAAGCTAAATCGTGGTGGAGAGTCTGGAGACCTCAGCCTCGGTAGTCGGTACCCTGCGCGCTGCGCCACCTTGCGAAACATAAAGCAGCAGTCCTGACATCTGCAGGCGCTACTTTTCATGAAAACGCGGATGTGTTCGCGCTTATGCGAAGAAAATTCTTCCGAGTATGGTTGATAATGAGATTAATTGTTGTCATTTATTTATCAATTCATTAGCAAAAGTACCCTAATAAATCGGTAAAGTAGCTTAAACTGTATCGTATTTCCTTGGGAAAAAATGACGAACTCATCCTAAGACATCCAGATTATTGGATGCGTTCGTCAGTTGTAAGTAGTTCAAGTTTTTGGAAAAATTTGCTTGTGGAAAATCATAATATTTCAAAGATATGCCTATTTTCGAATGATTTATGCATTTATCTGCATTGAAAACTGATTGTAAAGCAAAAGTGCAAAAGATTATTGTCAATTTATTTTCTCAAATCACGATTTACGAACGCACAAAACTCCAGCTTTTAATTTAGTGCGTGTGCGAATTGCGGTCAAGAAAAAAGAATTTAACTGTCTATATTCCTCTTAAAACAATGAAGGATGAATGAGAAAAACGCTGTTTTGAACAATCGTATATTAATTTTTTCTCAATTAAGCGAAAGTACAAAATTTTCAACTATTATTACATTTGCTCTCACAAAACTCATCACTTTTAAGCATGACGTCATGTCAGCCAAATTTACTAGCGCCATCTCTGGAGAGCATCTTTCGAAACCTCCAGACGATAGAGAGAGCCCTGAAATGGAGGGTTTATGAAAAGTAACAAAAATAAACATTCACCAATATCAATATGTTGTTATAAATTTCATATGTAGCATAAGCGCCAATACTGCCTTCATTTACAATGTTGCTACTGTTTTCCACTCACAAACGCTGCCCTCCGTGGACAGCAGCAGCAGCAGTGAAACGTCACCCGTGGTGTGACATCATCACCCATGACGTAATGGAAATCCAGTTGTTACCAAGGCCCGTCAAATCGCGTTTCTCAGATTTTCGGTTTGTTATTTTCATCAAGGTTTTGATAGGTGCTCGCACGGTAGCCATGTTGGGATAGGTGAATTAAAGGTTAAATTATTTAAATATTTTAAAATAATTTAAGACCTGCCAAGCCTAACAATACGCAGAATAATAACCAGAATTAAAAATTGTATTGTGATAAAAATTTATATGTGAATCGAAAGGGTCCGCTAAAAATGACCTTGACCTTTGACCAGTCATTTATCCGTAGTTTGACCTTGCCAAAACAAGAAAAACCAGCAGTAGCATCTCCAACATTGGTTGCATCATTGAGCATAAAATTATTGAAATCTAAGGGGTCCTCCTTTCTCACCTGACCACGTGGTCACTTCCACTTCCTGTATTACACATACGTGACCTTGATTCTGACCTTTGACCTACTATATATCAGTTCGTGCTGCTTGCCAAAGTAAGATACTGATATTTTTGAAATCAGCTCTTCATGGACTATAGTTGTACCAATTTTTACGAGAATCCAAAGGGTCCGCCGAGAATGACCTTGAACTTTGACCTAAGATTCCTCAGTTCTTAGGGGGTGCCAAGCCTAGGTGATTTATTTTCATAATAAGCATGTCCTGCTCTATCTATCCTGTGAATTTAAATCGATTCTGAGGGGTCCGTTTTTGTCATTTTTTCCACGAATGTGGTGCTGGAATCCGAATCCGAAGTTGAAGCCAACTTTATGAACGTGCCAAAAAGCCAGTATGTGTTTATGGGCCTGTTCCAGCGCCTCCAGTAGAAATTCTTGACTGGAGGCTCTACCAGAGGTTTTACTGGAGGCGCTGGAACGCAATCTGGAGATTTCTGGAGATTGGCATCACATATACCAAAAGAATGACGATTGTTCTCTCTTGAAACGCAAAATTTGTCTTCAATTTTATTAAGAAAGATTAACAAAATTGTAGCAATGTAATATTCTTTACATTCAAGTAGTAAAATAATCAGTCAAAAGTCCTTTGTTTACATTCGTGATTGTCAAATGTGCGCCATAATTGTAGACCAGAGCCTCCAGAGAAATTTGGACCTCCCAACTCTCTGGAGGCTACTGGAGGTTTCTGGAGCTTTGGTGAGAGCTTTCTGGAGCTTTCTGGAGGCGCTGGAACGCTCTCTGGAGGATTCTAGAGCTTTCTGGAGCTTTCTGGAGGTTTCTGGAGGCGCTGGAACAGGCCCTATGCCAATCCGTGGCAATTCACAAGACTCGGACCAATGCGCCGTTTCTGTCAACGCTCGAGGTAAGTAGTAATTCAAAGTCTTGCGTGCGTTTTGACGTCATAAAAAACTTGTCTGTGGACCTCTGCGGCCTGCAATGGCTTGAGCAACTCTTTGTTTGTGTTTCCTTCCTGTTGCTGCACGAAGGAAACAAACAAGCTGCACGTAGATCCAAAATATTACAATGCAAATACAATATAATAATGTAGGATGTATTTAGTCACAAGTTTGAGGCATTGGTTGAGTCAAAGGTTGAAGCCATTTGTCAGAAACGCTAGCTTTATGAAGAATCAATGACGTCATTGAGAAGCGTTTGTCCTTTCAATCATTCGCCATTCGCCATCAATTCGAATCAATTCGTCGATTTTTGAGTCTTTTCCGGCCTTGATTCGAGTCATTTTGGTTCGTTTTATTATTGACTTTTTGTCAGAGTGCTAAAAAGGTACAGCAATGTAGTCTTGGTTTTGACTAATTCTGCTGAAGTTTTACATACAAATGGAAATGCTGTGTGACTTGTGCCAGAGCCCTATGAAGGCTGCATACCCATAGGCCCACTGAGACCAAACATGGCTTTCGCATCCGTTTCATCGTTTCTATTCTCAGGATATTTAAATGTTTCTCCTCCACACTGCAACCCCTACCCGGGCTGGTCAGGCAACTATTTTTGTGTAAATTTAGCTTGAATTTTTGAATGTACGGAACGGATCGGAGCCAGAGCCCACGCTAAGCAGAGTTTGTGCAGACCCCGACCCCTACCGTGCGATCGCGCAATTCTGGGTAATGGGAGAATTTAGGTGCAAAAGTTTAACGTGCCCTTCAAAGCAGGACACGGCACGGCCTGTCCCCCTCAACTGACTTCAACTGGCTGCGGCTGCTCCCACCAACCGCAGACCATCCCCATCAGGAGTCTCAAATACCGAGTGCCGGAGCGTCTCAAACCCGGGCTCTCACTACCTGGAGTCCGGTGCTCTACCAACTGAGCTACGGGACAGGCAACTTTCCCTTGCAGTCGGCTCCCATTGGAGCGCAGTGCGCACCGTAGCTCCTAAGTCCTAAGGGAGCACCTGCACACCCCAGGGCCTTGTCTAAGGAATTTTCACTGTGGGGGCAGAGACTGAAGGACCAAAACCTAGGGTACCCCCAAATCCTGTTTTCTCACTGGATTTAGGCCACTTGTTTTTTGTCACAGCCCTGAGACCATGATTTTTTTTTAACAAAAAAGGGCAATCCGAGCATCCGAGCCATGCTCGTACCGCGTACGGGGGGGGGGGGGTCGAACGGACCCCCTCGGTTTTTCACGAATAACTCGCGTAAAATCGGCCGGCTGACTGCGACGAAACTTTCAGTACCCTCGCGTTAGTGTCACTTTTACACCTACTATGATAATGTCATGACCCTGACCGTAATGACCTTTGACCTGTGACTCTTCACTCTACACACCCGCGCAGCAAACCTTCCCATCGCGCAACATAATTCGTCACTTCCGACCAGCCCTGACGCAATGATTCGACAGCGATTCAATTAAAAACTGGGCCCCCAAGTCCTATCGAACTACCCAATAAATTTACCCAAGCAGTCCATTATAAATATTCACGTCTTCACGCTTTGTCCCCCCCCCCCAAAAAAAAAGAAGCTTACATGGTGTTGTCGCTATGCGCCTAATCCTTACGCTCAGCCCGAGAAAGGTAGCTCTGAACCATCAGCCGGTTGGTGCGAATCACGGAGCGAATATATGAGGGACGGGAGCTGAATGATTGCATGTTGGCAAGGATTGAGCAGACTTCCTTTCTGTGGCAATTCTTACTTGAACGGCGTTGTTGACCAAGCCGGTCACCGAGAGGTCGATGATGATAGCAGTTTGTCCGTTGTCGAGAACGTGTACTTTCCTCGATCCAGCCCTCGATCGCTGTCGTACTGGCTCTTCCCTCGTCAGCTGCTGCCCGTCGCGCTCCTCCCGTCGTGCTCCTTCCTCCGTGCACTGCCGTGTCCTCTGCACTCCGCCCAGTCAGACTCGATGCTCCGTGCACTCCGGTGTCCTGTGCACTCCTCGGTCGGACTCGATGCTGCGTGCACTCCGGTGTCCTGTGCACTCTTCGATACCTCCTCCATGACTGCCTCGTTCCTTTATACCCAGATTACTATCGCGTTGGTCTTCCAGGTGTGATAAGCATGGCTAGATATTCGTCGGTGTGGCGTGATAGGCCTAGTATCTTTATCTGTATGATGACTCATGAGTGGCCTCGGTCCTGCACACCTTTGTTCTGCTGGGAAGCTGAGGTACACTGTCCGGCGTCGGCGCTTTATTGCTTGGTTTGGTTGTAATCACGATATCTCGGGTATTGTTTCATATGTATGGTCCGCCTGGTCATTGAACTTCCCAGCTGTTCCTGTTTTGGCCGAACGCTCGTGATATTAGCGAATTCGTCAGTTATTACTCTGTTTGCTGGACGCTCATTTGTCCCAGCTGCCGTCCAGTATCAGTAATCCCCGACCGTCGGCGTCGCTGCTCGTCAGGTGAATGCCAGATATGGGCATTGGCGTGCCCCACTCTCGGCACGGAACATCTGCTCTTCTGGACGTACATATTTGCACCTCCGATTCCGCAGGGAGGGTGACTGGGAATTTTTGTTAGCGTCTGTCGGCGGCTGATAACTTCGTCGGCGTGAGTGTGATTTTGATGGCTTGACGCCTTCTATTAGCGGCATGATACGGCCCGAGGGATCCCTGCGTCAGCTGTTTCTTGTTTGACATACTCACACCGGTGTCGATCCACTATAGGTCGAGACGGCGCCGGTGGCGATATCCCGCGCAGGTGCAGAGGGTTGGCGCACAGGATGCCGGCCGATTGCGCTTTGGAGAGATAAAGTTCCGTTATGAGCTTTACCTGTAGATGCGGGCGGGGAGGCGGCAGTGTTTACACCTCTGCAGTGCCAGGTGTAGCCTGTTTTTGGCGTGGCCACCCAATTGGCGTGCGACCGATAAGAGGGGTCGACGCTACGTCGGGTCCAGGTGGGGTAGGCCATCTGCCGCCTGCGCCCTGTTGACCAGCGTTATCCATGAAAGTGTCGGTAATTGAAGCGCCGTTCTTCTCAGATGACTTCACTTTTGCGTGTTTGGCTTTTAGTCTCACGCCAATACGCATGCCTTATGATTCTGTCAATTCCTGTAAGCTATGATTCGAAAAAATGTGGCTTCCGTCACATATGTATCGTATGTCTATTATAATGGGTTTGACTCCAACGACGCGGACGGCACTTATGAAATGAAGTGCGTAGATAGGCACTAGAAAACAATATCCTGGACAATTGGGCGTGGACAGGGCATATTTTAACAAATTTTTACTGCGTCCCAAAGTTGAGCAGAGGGCACGTGCTACCACTAAGGGCACAGGGCAAGGAACAGAGTAGGGCACTGAGAAGGGCAGAAAGTAGTGCACGGCAGGTTTCAGGGCATGGCACAGGACATTTTAGAGGGAAGGGTACAGGTCAGGGCACACAGCAGGGCACAAGTCAGGGAACCGGACAGGGCACAGGGCAGGGACGCAGTGGGTCAAATCAGCGGGGGCTATGTCCCAAGGCGAGGGGGCTGCGTCCCAGAATGGGACGCAGTAAGTGCCTTAAAATATTCCCTGGGCGTGGAAGTAGCCTTCCATCAGACTATGCACTATGTATGCATTGTATCGATACATGCGGCTATCACGAGATATCCAAGGGCTTATTGAAATTCTCCGTCCGTGATATCGTTACGTGCACAGCACCATCATCAACTTCGGCGCGCGCGTGATATCTGGCCGGAGGAGAAGGGATCACATCAGCGACGTCATACGAGACCTTAAATGGCTCTCAGCGTCACAGCTGCACACCTACCACGCGCTATGCCTGATGAGACGTTTACTGGCCAACTCGGAGCCGCATTCACTGGCGCAGAAGTTGGTACGGAGGCACAACATCCGGCAAACCCAAACACGGCAGGACGACCATCTGGATCTACCAGTGATCAAGACGGAATACTGCAGACGCCGTTTCTTCTACAGAACTGCCGATGTTTTCAATCGTCTTCCCTCTAGAATCTCAGTCAGACGCATCGGTGCATTCAAAAGGCGTCTCCGCGCCTATCTGGCCGACGCAATGCCGTAACAATGTCTAGTGCTGACACATGTGGCGCAACGCATGCGTATGTCTGTCTTTGTAATGCGCGTGTTACTTATCATCCCTCTATGTAATATTTCGCTTATCACCTTTTATATGACTCTAGGCATGAAAAACCGGCATGATACTGGATGACCTTACGATGAATACAGAATGCAGTACACCGATGACTGCTCAGTGTGCAAGCATGCCTAATCGCCAAAAATGCGTAAATCCGTGGACGCATTCCCCGTTCTGTTCAACCTGACTAAATATCCGCAGCTGGTTTGGTCTCATCCAAGTTTGTGTCATGCGAGTGGACCGAACCCTCATCCACCCAATGAGTTGGAGTGAATCACTAAAGCCTAGCCTTGGACCTTGTTTTAGCAGTGTCTTACTAAAAATGCCTTCGTTTACAGACTGCTTTGAAAATTAGTCGTGTGGCCTGTGCGACCATCCGTTCACCGTTGTGGCTGTGATGGCGGAGGCCGTGCACCAGACGGACACCGCCTCCTCCAAACCCTCGCTGTTCGAGCTGATGGCCGCAGATGGGCTCTTTTCGTCCCTTCATCCAGCGGTTAGGCATGCTTGTAAGGTGAGTCCAATCAGTTTGTTTGTAGGGTCTCGACTCTCATGACTAATGCATTCATCAAAATGGTAATGAGTCAACTAAAATGATAACAATTGCCATTTCTTCCTAATTTTTGTAGACCACTTTGGGTACGTCTCTGTTTGCCTAAGATTACTTTGTTCGCCTGCATTGGCTGCTGATCAGTGATCATACGCTTGTCATGTGATATGTAACCTATGCATTATGCAGTATGCACATTGCAGATACATTTGTGACTTGTTATGGTCACAGGCAACATTGTTTTGATACGTAAGCGTCTAACAATCGTCAAACATTTCAGATCATTGCAGCTCGGTATCCGTCTACACAAACCTGGCTGGAGCGCCACTTTGACGAACTTTTCCTGGTTGTCAACGCGCTCTTCCAGAGGCATTACCTCTTCACATATGGTACGTCATTGCGTCTTAGTGCCTTCTCGTTGGTCACTGCTTTCATTTCGTATATTTCTGCTGTAACTGATCGTTGCAATTGTGCATAATGTGAGCTAATGTTCAGGTGGCCGATATTTGTTGATGGCGTGGTGATGGATGATATGGATGATATGGAATGTAGGTATTACTATCCAGTAGCCTCCCAGTCGAAATGCAGTCAGAGGCTGGGTCATTACCTCATACCTTTGCGTATGGATACGAATAACGTTTCGCTGATGTCGGCACTTTCAAATTCTCGCTAATCAACCCGATCGTTCTTCATTTTCTCATTCAATTGTCGATCGATTGACATTTTGTCTGCCATCTGTCTCTGTGGCGCCTGTCTGCTCCGTTCTTCGAGTGTGACCCGACCTTCCCCTGTTGTGACCGCCCTCCGGCTCCGGCAGCCGGCTCCCTGGCCGAGAACTTTTACGGCATAAAGCGGACGCCGGTGTCCGGTGGCGACGGCAGGGCCGGCCTGCGCCTGCTGCCCGGCGAGGTGTACCGCAGCCTCGTCTGGCTCTGCGCCTTCCCCTACGTCAAGGCCAAGCTGGACGCTCTGTTCGAGGAGCTGGAGCATCAGGAGGCCAGCGGTGTCCGCCCGGAACAGGTGGGCTTCCGTCACCCGCTGTTAGCCGATTAAGGCTTCCTCAAGTTTTCCAATCTCAGTAGGTGAAAACCTCGATTCGTTCATATTCCGACTGGGCCTGTCGTAGGAAGCAGAGTCCTTTCCAGGAGACTAATTCAGATCTGAAAGATAGATGATACTTAAGTTCGGGCTACATATCTCCGCGCTATATGGCAGCTGAGGGCAGCCCTATAATGGAGTGCGCTGTCTCTGTGGCGGCTTTCACAGTCGTATTGACGGAAACGGTGGAGACTGGGGTGCGCTGTGACTGTGTGACTGATGGTGTCGATGTGTCGCCAGGAGTGGCGGCAGCGGGCGCGCCAGCTGGTGCTGCGACTGTATCCTCCGGTGCACGCGACGTTCTCGACGGCGGTCGCCTTCTGCTACTTGGCTTACATGTTCGGTAAGGCTGAGACGACCACGACATTTTGCCACTTTTGGAGATGAGATAAGAATTCACAACATGAAACCTTGATCATGTCTATAGCATCTTTAAAGGGACTATCCCACCTTTACATTAGGTTTGAGTTGAGATAGCCAAGTTTGCGGCGAGGTTCAGAAACCACTATCTATCTTGGTCGCAACCCCCGCATCCTCGTGGTGTTGAAGAAATTCGTTCCCTTCATTTGAAAATGTTCCCTGTACAAGTCCCAATCTCTTAACCATTAACGGCAATCTGATGACGTCATTTGTCTTTTGAACGCCTGTCACGCAAGCAAGTGAAGTATCACTTGATTTACGAATAAGCCAATCAGAGATACTTTTGCTATTGTATAAGCCGCGTCATATTTGAGAGCAAGTATATTTGCTGCTAAATTTCCCTCCACATTGGCATGAAGGAAATCCTTCATTACGCCACAGATCCGATCTAAATGACGTCACAATGAAATATAAAAGTCGCAATATCTCAAAAAGTATAAGATGAAAACGCGTAAAAACATGCAGAATTCGTCACTATATCATGAGTAACATTTACGAATCCTAAACGGTACTTTTTAGAAGGTGGGATAGTCCCTAGGGTGGCACTTAGCAATAGGGTGAATTTTATGTTATCCGATTTTTAGGCGTGCGGGTAGTTTTCTGGTTCCATTCCCGTAAAAAATGATGTGTGCAAAATGATTTTGAAAAAAATATTGATATTTAGGGGTCGCGAATTGAGGTCAAAGTTGACATTTTTGGGCAAAAAATCAACTTTTTGGAAACTACTTAAAACCTATTTGGAATGACATATGTGGTCATTAAGCGTCATTTCAGACGTATTTTGACCTTTATTTGTATAACAATTGTTTATCCGATCACTTCCGGCCGATCGTAGCCAGTCCAGGTCAGGCCAAGACAGGTCTGATCTGGGCTGTTTTACCCATGTCAGGCCTGTTTTGACTTGCGACCGGTACCTTCTCACAAAGGTCATATCCTCTGATTAGTGTGAGGAGTGACCGGTCTCTCCTGTTCCAAAGGGAGGACGAGCCCCACGGTTCTATCGGTTCTTGAGACATGCTCCTTTTCTGTGAAGAATGTGAAGAAGTTGGAGTCAGCCTATCGCCGGCGGGCGAAAGCAGAGGCGAGAGTGTGCATTGAGCTGCACTGGTTCATTGTGCTTTCGGGATGTTCTTCCGTGGGCGCTCCTTCCGACTCTAGTGCCAGTGCCAGCAACAGACTTACCCGGCCGTTGCGGCGCGCACACGGAGGGAACGTCTTTGACGATGGCTACCATGAGAGACAAACGTTGACTCACACTCCCAAGCGCATGCGGGCGAGCGGACGTCCCCAACAGTGAACTGGCCTCGACCGGGCCAAACTGCCCAACCGTAATGTGTGAAGAACACGTGAACCTGTTATCAACTGCGGCACGGAACTTAGGATACGACTCCGGCTGAACCGCGAATCCTGAGCCGCGAGAGAAGGAGCGTCGACCGATTCTAGGTCCTGGTGCTGGGGAGGGGGAGGGATTGGGGTGGCCAAGCTCCTCGCCGTTCCCAACCTCCCCTCCATCCAAGCACAGGAGGCCATGCTCACAGCGCTGGGGGACTAGGAACTGGAGAAGCGGAACTGCGGCCTTTTGCTTCGACGCCACGACGGGGAACAGCATGCTGGCGAACGGTACTTTAACCCTTATCGAGCAGAAGCTGGATCGGCCCGTCCTCCAGCTGGCCTGCCGGCACCACGTGTAAGAGCTGGTCCTAGAGAAGGCCTTCTCCACCTGCCCTAGAATCTCGAGCGGCCTCTACATCCGGCTGTTTAAGAGGTTCAAAGGCGGGTGGGAGTTCATACTTCATTGACAGGATCACCACCTGTGGCATTCGTCGTCGACGACGTTCCGGAGGACTAGCTGCTGGTCAGCTTCCATCGCTTCCATCTATGCCTAGCTCCGGGAAGACTACTGAAAACTTCTGGAGCTCTGCGTAATTGCTCTCGGTGGAGTTCCAAGCACGGCATCCGTTTCTCCGCCTCAGAGTACTCCACTGAGTTAGATGGATGGCAAAGACCATCCGCGCTGTGGATGCCTTCCTCTTCAGGGAGCGGCTCCGGCTGACGGCGGCCGAGGCCCAGGTCATCAGACGCTGTGCGTTGTCCGTTGCCTGCAAGTTTGCCGCCGCCGCCGCCGCCTGGTTTAGTACTCTACTGCCACTGCGCCGGCTCTGGACCTGACCTTCGTGAACTCGTTCTGCACCTACCCCGACAAGGAGCTGTCGAAGGCGACAGTCCCGGTCTTCGGCCGTCACCTGTAGTACTTGAGTGATCGGCTGGTGACTCTGGAGCTTTTAGACCCCGACTCTCGGGCTCAATCAAGACAGGGTGCTGGCAATAGACTTGTAGGAGAGGGAGGACGAGGACCCGCCCCATAAGTCCTTAGTGGACACTATGAACGCCGCTCTCGCGACCGAGACGTTGGCGAGCTTCCTCACACCATCGTTCAAAAAGGATCCACGATCTGGACGCGGGGCTCATCATCAATGACCTAGGCCACTAGGGGGACAGCAGCTACCAAACCACCGCTCGTGTAGTCCGGGAGCTGCGGGTGGTGAATGACTTCACCAGGCGCGGTATGGCGCTGATGTAGGACTGGCACTCATGAAAGACAAAGATTAGCGCCAGTTCTTCCTCCATGTCGTTAAAAAGATCACAGAAAACGCTAACCTGACACCCGCAGATCGACTGCAATTGCTAACCAGGCTACACACAAAGTGATCTGGGTGCCCGTTGCCCATGATATCCCTCCCTCCAATGAGGCGCCAATAATCTACTAAAGAGGAGGAACTGGAGTAGTAGAGTACATAGACCAGCGTTCTGGCGTGACCGAAGCTGCATGAAATATCAATAAACAATATGAAAATGACTAAGAAATGCCTTATATCATCCGATTACAGCGTAATAGGAAAGTCAGAAACGATTTTAATGATATTGAAATCTGCTACCAAAATCTCAATTTTGACCTTGATTCGCGACCTCTAAACATCAATATTTTCCCATAAAAATTTGCCTTTCTTATTTTTTACGGGAATGGAACCGGAAAACCACCCGCACGCATTAAAAATCAAAAATTGATTTTTAAGTGCCACCCTAATAGTCCCTTTAATAATTTGCATTCATTAGCCAAGACGTACCCTTAAATTCACATTTCACATGTCTCATCAGCTCATATGTTTCTTGGATTTAGGCCAGTATATCAGTAACAACTTTGTTGGTTTTTGGCAGACAAATGCGGCTACCACTCGCCGCTGAGCTGGCTGTCTGGTGTGCGCCTGGAGACGGTGACGGCCGACGACTGGCGGCTGGCTCGAGAACGGGACGACAAACTCTCCTCCTGGACTCGCCTCAGGTGAGCCAACAGCCGCGCACTCACCGCCGGGAGGGGTGTGACGGCAGCGCGGGCTGAAGGGACGGGGCGCGACCGATTGGGATGTGCTCTGGTGCGCGGCGTGGGGGTGTGAGTCTCCCCAGGCTGAGGGAGTGGATAGGCATTTCTCTGTAGTTGAGTAGGACTGTAGTACCCTCTGGGAGATGGCGGTGTAGCTGATGGAGGTGTCTTGCGGGGTGGGAGGTATTGCCGGGGCCCTAAAGGGGGGCCGGCCCGGTTACGAAGATGGCGAGCTTAAGTCCTGACGTGATGTGAATGTAATTCTGTCTGACTGACTGCCTCCTGACGGGATGTCCGATGTCGGTGTAATTCTGGGTGCCTTGTGACGGGGTGTGGGGAGTAATCCCCTCTGACCCCGCTGCGCCGGCAGAGCTCGCGGCCTGCCGGCGGCGCTGACCCTGTACGGACTGCACGCCACCACGCGGCTGGCCAGTCACGCGCTGCAGGTGGGCTCGTTCCTGGTGCAGTTTCTGCAGTGGTGGAGCGGCGCCGGAGACCGGGACGGTCGTCGGCTGGGCGCGGCCGACGTCGCACCGCCCGACTGCCGCCCGCTCGCGCAGGTCAGTGGCCCACCGCGCCGCGCACCGCGGCCGGATCGTCAGGGGTCGCCGAAAATGACTGCTGTAGTGACTTGTTTGTAGTGGAAGGACAATAGAACATTCTTCATTCAACAGCAATTTAATAATACCAATTTGCCGTTGAGCCGTCCTTTTTTTAAATTATAACCGTAAAAGAGGCTCGCCTCAAATGGTCCTAGCTGGCAGCTCGCGACCTTTCCACCTACAACGCTGCTTGTACTACTGCCTAACAAAAAAGTGGGGCTGCTTGACTGTCGTTTCAGTGCGTCCCCGTTGCAGTGTCCGTTTTTTAATTTCATCCAGACGTATTTTGATAAATTATGTTAGGTGTCTGTGGTTCCTGGTTTTGTGCTATCTCATCTTATATTGCCAGTGCTGTGACGTCCAAGTTCGGTGACCGTGTTGCCCTGTCTTGAATGTTACGGTGACCCTCGCCTGCTGTCCGTGTCTCGTACACTTTACCCCGCTCTGAGACTGTCCCGGCCGGCGTTCCAGGGCGAACCGGAGGCCGACGGACGCTGTCCGCTTTGCGGCAGGACACGCACCAACGAGGCAGTGCTCGCCGTGTCCGGGTACGTGACCGACCGTCCGCCGGTGTCGACCGACACTATCCAGCCAGTGCAGTCCACTCGGCCAACACCAAAGTCTGGAAAATATCCATTCCATAATCCGAACCCATTTTGACCGGAAAATGCCCTTTCTAAAATAAACATGTAAATCCTTTCTGGTTTGGAAGGCGCCATTCACATATCGCCAAATCGTACTCTAAAGCGTTAAACGCCTCGAAAAGTGCGTGCATGATGGACAATAACGGAAAACCATCAGCCGCTAGTGTTAGAAACCTTTGTCGTTTCCCCAGTTTTTACTGCTGCTCGATCCATTAGATTCTGTATGACTTTCTTGTGTGATTCACGCTGCGCCGTCGCGGCCGCACTGACCGCCCACTGTGTCGGGCTTTTTTCAGGTACGTGTTCTGCCACCCGTGCATCTTCCGGCACGTCAGTGAGAAGGGCCGGTGTCCAATCTCGTGGTACCCGGCCAGCACGGAGCAGATCTACCGACTGAGCGGTCCCGGCGACGACTGACGCGCCACACCGCCGGCCTCCGCAGAGTAGGACGCTTTCCATAATCTGTGATATTGTCAGCGTCTCCATTAATTAGGGGTCCGTACAAAATATGTGATAGGTTGAATAATTGGTGCGAATTAGCCTGCTACATTGTGCGGCATGAAATGGGGATCAGTAGCTGCTGCGTAGAACTTTGGTCTTAACATTCGTAATACCGTAATGTGATTTTCCGAAATCATTTATATTCTCCTCCCTTTATCTGATTTGCGAAACAACTGGACAGATTTTCAAATTTATGTTGCCACAGGTTTTGATGACTGCTCCAAAGTAATGCTTGTTAAATAACGAGCCCCAACCGACCTCTGGAATATTCAGTCGAGCACGCCCGGCTTAGGCGGGGGGGGGGGGGGCAGATCATGCCCCTGGTCTTATTTTCGAACTGAGGCCTCTTGCACCAAACTACCTAGCTGGGTAAAATCGAAAAACCGGTTTCAGAATAAGCTAATCTAACGGTGGTAAATTTGTTTACAATAGCCCGATACATTGTCCTACATGTGCTTGCTAAATTTTGCACGCAAATTGTTACATTTGAGACTTGGACTGGGTATACGATGCAAAATAATCCAAGCATTGGTGCAAGAGGATTTTGGTGCAAGAGGCCTCGGATGTTCGTAATAATACGGAAAAGGTAATTGCCGATCTTCTTATCCCCGGTGAACTTAGACCACGCGGAGGTCTGCCTAGTTGGGCCTGTGTCCATATCCTGGTGAGCGCATTCAGGCGCTGACGGCTGAAGCCGTCCCCCACTTGTGCCATGCTTGTGGCGGAGATCTTTGGAAGGTCTGCTGCTGAGGATTCCGTCGCCTTGACGTAGTCCTCGACGTCCTCGATAGCTTGTCGTGTCGTGTTCTTTGAGATCGACTGATGAACTGCATATGCGGACATTTACTTATGTCCTGCTTAGAAATATTTTATCGTGATTCGCTCTGTCATAGTATGTATTCTTTGAGTTTACAGCCTTCAGGAGAGCACTGAGCAGTGCAAACATTCATCATTTCAGCATATATGCATCACAACAGTAGGTGATGTAAGTAGGTAATCAATAATCACTGCTAGGTTGAATTGTACAATGTACCTACACCTAGCCAAGATTTGCTCTGCAAATGACCTTCAAATGAGAAAATACTGCATATTGCTCGTGTTGTAAGCCGGCGCCGACTTCGGTCGCCGCCGCTTCACCGGCGTCGAGCTGGCTTGGGGCGAGCCCTTTGCCGCGCCGCCCGAGCCCGTGTGAGGGATGATTGTGAATTGTGATCTCGTTGTTGATTTTGATGGGCTGTCCGCTCTCATGATGCCTTTTGGGCCGCTCTCATCCGACCCACACCTCTTCCTAACATATTCAACTATACATATTCAACTAAAACATTAGACTGATCTTGATCTTGTATTAGCTTACGGGCCTCCACAAAAATACTTGTATATGGGCCCAGTACATTGGATTAGGGGTATCATGGGGTATGTAACAAGATGTGTCTAATTCATTCATAAATGAAACTCGCGCACCATTTATGGCGACAAAATCCGCTTCCATATCATACGACCTTGAACTCTAGTGCTGTCATAAACATGGAGGTGCAAATTATAATCACGATAACATGACAAAAAAAATCAAGTTGCGTGATTGTGAGATGCCTAATCAACTCTAAAAAATCATTAATGGTGATTGAGACCCTAAAAGCATGGTTTTGTGCGAACTTTTCAAAGGTGGCAGTCTCGCCGGCCGAGGGGGGTGCCACCTCCCCCCCCCCTCATAGGTTTTTTTTTCGCGATAGCTCCGAGCACGCTGGAGATAGAGAGCTGAAACTTGGCATACCTAACCTTGATTCAAGCCGGATCTTTTGACACCAACCGCATTTTTTGGGTCAGGTCAGGTCACTGACCTATGACGTCTTAACCCGCGCACCGACGGGGGTCTGCGCCAACTTAGTACCGACGGGGGGGGGCGGATGACCGCCCCCCCCTGAGATCTCGAGAACGAAGCAAGATAGCGACAAGCGGTAAACGGCATCGGATACGCACGGTCAAGATCTACAATTTTTACTAAGGTCATTTTCAGTTCAGGTCAAAGATGACGTCACAGGGGTCGAAAAAGTCAAAATGGCGGCGCTAAATATGGAGAGAGTTTTTCTCGAATAACTTTCGAATTAGTCAAGATAGGAACAAACTAAGGGCATCATCGTGATCCTCTCGTCAATCCGCATCGAATGATATATATGTTGACCTCGAAAGGTCAAGGTCAAAGGTTGACCTCAGGTCACGTGACCTCGAGGTCATCATGTATATCATTCGATGCGTCTTGACGAGCTGAACACAATGAGACCATCCACGCGTCTTTATCTTGTTCCTGTACGGAGTTATTGGCCAAAAACCTTTGGTGACCTTTGATGACGTCACATGACCTCACAGCTGCCCAACAGCAAAACAGACCTCAAGGTAGTGAAGGTTGATCGTATATGAAGTCATGTATGGTATATGGGGCCATTCCGACCCGTTTTAGTGGTAAAAACAGGGAGTTGATTTTTCCCCCATTGACTTATAATGGGGAGGTCGCGAAATTGACCTGACCTTAGGTCACCGATATCAAAATTCCGAGATATACAAATTGTAGCTACTAATGACCTAATAACATCCTGCGACTTTCAAAGGCCTCCGACATCTACTGTAGCTCTGGCACGGTGACAAAGTTGCAAAAAAGTGACTTGAGGTTGGGTCATTCAAAGTGACCTGGTGACCTGACCTTGAAAGGTAGGAGGTTCAAACTTGCACACCATGTGTAAAATTGATAAGGAAATAGTCATACCAAATTTCGCGGCGCTACGCGCCGCGGTTTTCCCGCTATTCGCGAAAAACCTCATGGGGGGGCGGATATCCGCCCCCCCCCGTCGGTGCGCGGGTTAAGTGAACCTCTGCACGGTCTTCAGATGTCGCTACTTCACAACGCCCTCACTGCCAGAGGAGATGTCACAGGGAAATGAAACTTGCAGGACCTAGTATCCATCATGAGTCTCACAACTTGTATATCTCGGATTTTTCCTAAAGGTCATATGAGGTCAGGTCATTTTCGTGACCTCACCATTATAAGTCAATGGGGAAAAATGAAAACTGCTATTCTGGCGCCGGGAACGATCTCCAACTATCTCAAGCACACAGAATCGTGATTTGATGCACTCCTTGCAAGGTTACATGCGTCACTTTTGCAATGTTGACCTTGTGTGACGTCATTTATGACGTCATCAAGGTCATATTCGTTTTTCGTCAATAACTCTTGATCAAATTGAGCTAGCGAGTCGGGAAAGCCACCAATGGACTCAGGAAGACCTGCCGAATCGAATGATATGCGACATGTCCTCTTTCGACCAACTTCGTGACCTGGGGGTGCTGACCTGACCTTGACCTGAGGTCAACACCCTAAGTTGACCTGACCCGAACAAAAAGTATATCATTCGACGCGCCTGAGCGAGGCGAACACGATGCTGCCAAAATCGCGGCTCTGCGGCCGTTTTTGCGAAGTCATTCACCAAAAACTGAACCGTACCTTGGGGCACTTGACCTGACCTCAGAAGTCAGAGGTCACCGGTTGAGGACCTTAAAATCGGGTACCAATCTCTGCGTCTCGTAACGGCGCACACGCTCGTTTTTTCCGCGACGCGCTAGCTCCACCAGGGGCGAAACGGCGAGGGCGGGTCGTACCGGCCCCCCCCCCCCCCCCTCGGCCGGTGCGTATGTAGAAAACCAATAGGTCCGGCTAGGGTTAAACAAGAACAAGCGCCGAAGTTGGTTTACCAATCTTGGGGTACAACATACGCTGCAACAATGCGATCGGCATAAAACAACGCAAGCTCGGTGCACAATAAATCAACTCGCAAAGATGTCTGAAAATCAGGAAGTTGATGAACTTCGCTTCTTAAATGAAACAAATGCGTCTATTAACCCGCGCCGGGCCGGTGCTCTGAGATTCCGCGCCGGGCCGGGGGGGGGGTCTGAACACCCCCCCCCTTCTAACTCGGCTCCTGGGCCACGTAGCGACACGCGGTAAGCGGCAATCGAAGGAACGTCCAAAATAAGGACGAAAACACTTCGGTCATTTTTTGGGTCAGGTCAAAGGTCAGGTCACCAGAGGTCACCAAAGGTAAAATGTTGACTATTTCAACATTTTGGAAACTGCCAACGGCTATCTCGGGAACCGATAGAGCTACAGCGCCGCAGAAAAGCGCATTCGATAGACCTTTTACAGACCTTTCTGTGTATTGTTTTCAGATTTCAACAGTTTAGCCTCCAGAGGGCATAAACTCCAAAAATAGCCGTTTTTACGAAAGGCTTTTCATACTTCCACCGATGATCTTCGGTAACAGCGCAGTCATTTATATGAGCCAAAAATGCAATCGGGGCGATTTTTGTCCCTTGGGGTGTTCTACACGTGGTAGTGAGCTTTGTTGAGACAGGATTCGAGCCACCAAGTCGAACGACCTGTTTCCGGTTGTTGAGGAAGCTGGCTACTGTGGGCACGATGGAGGGACGAACTTGCTGGTCAAGTAGCTTCCTGAGCACGACATCATGGCTAACCAGGTCGAAGGCCTTGGAAAAATCGATCGCCAGTATGGCCGCAGCGTTTGAAGAGCTATCCGTGTTCTTAGCTAGGAAGTCATATAGCGAGATCAGGTAAAGTACCGTAGAGTAGCCTGGCCTGTTTCCGAACTGGTGTGGGTCAAGTGATGGGGTAATGTCAGCCATGATCCAGGTTGTCAAAAATCCTTCAAAGATTTTGGAGAAGAGCGGGGTGAGTGAAATGGGTCGTAGATCGTTGAAAGAAGTTGGAGGGTTGACCTTGGGAATGGGGGTGATGAAGGATAGCTTCCAAGCAGACGGAAAATTTCCGGAGGATAGCGAGGAGTTGAAGATGTGGGCGAGTGGCTGCGATAATTCGAAGGCAAACTCCTTGACCAGCCGTGCTGGTAGCTCATTCGGTGTGGTGGAGATGTTGGAGCAGATGCTGCTCAGTTCCCTCTGGACGTCAGCTCGTCGGATGACCGGTGGGGGTGCGTCCGCCGGTAGGTAGGCAGGGAATTCTTCCTGGTTGAGTGCCGGCAGCTGGGATGAGATAGATGCGAAGTGCTGGTAGACCGCTTCCGCCAGCGCCCCACCAGTCTCGTACTCAGCGAAGTTTAGCTGTTCGTTCTTTACTCGGCCGGTCAGACTCTTGATTTGACGGAACCAAGTAGCCGGCTTTGCTGTCCTCATTCCTCGTGTTTTCCTGTCGTAGAATTCCGCCTTGGCTTTGCGGCACAGATGAGTGGCCTTATTTCGTAGATGTCGTAGATGTTGTGAACCCGTTGTTGATGGTGCCGCGATATCCGATGTCGGCGCCGTATAGGAACCGTTGTATGACCTCTGATTTTACATGATTTGGGACCTGGTAGCATTCCTGGAGCAAAAGTTGAAGCTGGGCTATGTTTTTTCCCGTGTAGCGCTCACCACCGCCCCCTAGATGGCCCCCGATGGCCCTGAAGGGGCCAGGGGTCGCCGGGGTGCTGCCGTACTGTGGCATGCTGTTGTAGGCGGGGCGGCCGGCGGGGACGCCGTGAAAGTCTGTGGCGTGATGCAGTGAGGAGCACACGCGACACGCGAGGTGCAGGCGCCCTGCCCGGCAGAGTGTAGGGCACCGGTTGAAACGGACATAATTTACGCACACCTGCCGGCCCGCCCCACCCACTGGGCGCCCGGCATCTGGGCCGGCTCCTCCCCGTGGCACGAACTGATCAAGGTCTGTGGCAGTCAGAAAATCCCTGGGCCGCAGAGCCCTACTGTCCGCCGTTTGGATTTCCCGCAGTGTGCGGTCGGCGCTCAGCCCCAGCAGCCACGCTAGGTAGCTGGCCACCTGCAGACCGCACTGAGGGAAGTGGTAGGTGGTGTGTGTCAGCAGGTTGGTGACTTTACCGAGGTATTCGATTACCGTTCCGGGCCAACGCTCCCCTTCATCGATGATACTGCAACCGGGATATACTTCCTTCGGTTTCGAAGTCGTCTTTCCACTTTTGCTGGCACCGCCGGAAGTCTGAGGGCGGTCCGCGCCGCGGCAGCTGCTGATCGCAGTGATGCTAGCCGGTGCTCGCGCCGGCGGTCTACCCTGTCCTCATCGTCCTCCGAGCTCCCCGACTCAGATGATGGCGCACTCCAGTGATGTCTGACGGGGCTATCGCTACCGAAACGCCGCCGTTTCCTTCGCGGCTGGGCCGTCTCGCTGTCGCGGAACCTCCCATTGCCCTCGCCTGAGTCGCTGTCCAATCACTTGACAGTATCAGAAATGACGTCACTAAACCATACTTTCCGGCTGCGCCACCGTCATCACGACATCCTCCTCCACGGACGCCACCTGTCCGATTCCTGGACAGTCCCGCTTCAGGTGTCCAGTCTGCCACATTTGAAGCACCTCCTCTTCTCGAGCGGTCCGCCGCGTCTGCTGTCTCGCCGACCGCCGTCTGCCGGGCCGGGCGGGCGAGATACTCCGCGCTGCTGCACCGCTCCTGCCGCCGGAGGGCGCACCCTCTCCGGCGCCGAGTCCGCCCTGGCCGTCGGACAGTCCCGCCGTCA